AGCGGCTTTAAATAGTTCGCTTTTCAGGAAGTAGTAGACCGTACTCAGAATAAACAGGATGCCTACACGAAACGTCCATCTAGAATCGTCAGTGGCGCATGGATTGAACATGAAGATACCATTTCAATTGCCAGAATGTTCAGATTTTTGAAGACAATGCTGCCATTCGTGAACGTTGATAATAGTGAAATGTGGCAGGTTTGTTTCGAAAATTGAGCCAGATTAGAATAACCAAAGATTAAGTTATGGATTGTGAGCAAAGTGATTCATTAATACATCGAATGATGCCCAATCAGGTTCTCTCCTACCATCCTGGTAATCACTACGCACCTCACTATGACTACATCCCAGAACAATATGATTCATTTGTGAAGAAGATTGGAAATCGATTCGCAACATTTCTTCTGATGCTTCCAGCCGGCAGTAAAGGGAGGAGGTTGGTGGATGGATATACGTAAAGTGCCGTGAATTACGATAGATATTGAGTGGACCTGAAGTGGAAGCATGTGTTATCTGTTGCGCCAGTGGTGATAAAGAAACAGAGAAATTTTCAAGATCCCGCAAAATAAGACCCCTTTCTTATTTGACCTAACTGCGGACAGGCAGCAACAAGAAACAAGGCGTTTGAACTCCGTTAGTCAACGTCATGTCAACAAACATCATGTTCCTATTGATGACAGTTAATTTACTTTTTCTGGATATTCTATGGTTGTAAACAAAGCATGTTGAGATCAGTATATCATAAGCCCTCCATTGAAAGCAGTTTCACATTGACGACAGTACATTTCCCATAAGTCCCTATCTTAACGGAATCCCCCGTCGAGTGTTGTACCCTCTACATCCCTCAGGTTTACTGAAGGCAAGCCGCGAGATTAGCCCGACTAGTAGGAGGGATACCGCGAGGGTAAGGTCCGTACCTACCTAGATCACTCCAGCTTCGTCGCAAAATTGCGCGGTTAGGGCGCTAATCCTTACGGGCCTGCAACCATCGACCCTTCCAACGCTTCCCACCCACCGCGAGAGATGGTGAGATCAGCGTGCATTGATGTAGAGATCAGCGTGCTCTCTCAAACGACGTGCTCTCTCGCGTATTTTGTCTTCTTTGACCGCCCTGTCTCGCCATCGTACCACATCCGACCTTACTTGAAGGTTAAGGCCTTAATTTCAGCGTTCTCCAAAGATTCTCTTGCTTTCCTTCCCACTTTCAGGTCGTTCCGCAGCTAAGCTATCACCACGAAGCGCTGATAGCACCGGTTTAAAAATTTGCCCTTAATCTGAACCGAATTTTCTGATCAAGAAATAGCTGAGTTCCTTCGGTGAGACCCTTAGGTGATTCAAACTAACCTAGTCAGGGGTGCCGGACATGGCCCGGAAAAGGATCGATCATCACTATATTCTTCAATATACTGAACCATTTGTACCGTTTCTACACCCATTGACATCTTCTTGTCGTCCATCGCTTGACATTGAAATATTTGCAGGAACCGTCTTCCCAGATTTACAAACAACAGTGATGCTGTCAGCTGGAGATGCAGTTTTCTGGACTAATATGGAAGCTAATGGCGAAGTGGTAATTAGTTCTGCATGCGGATTTCTTTTACATACAGTTTGAGTGTTTCCTTTCTGAAGGCACCAGTTTAAATAGGCTTGCGAGCTATTCTTCAGGATAACCACATAGTCTAGGAATTGAGTCAGAAGCGTCTGCAGTGCAGACCAAACAAGGCAGGTGACGCTGGCCTGCACAAAAAATTGATAGCTGATGCTTGTTAGTGGCAGTGCTGGTAGATGATTAATGGTAGTTGTATAAGTAATAGCTGATAGAATAGAACTGCAATGGATTCACCATTTCGTTGAGAACACCATCGTAACTCGTGGAGGGTCGTCATTTTAGTAGTTTTGTCCGCACTGCTGACGCATCCGACTCTCGAATGCAAAATACATGATGTGTAAAGAAAATAGCAATGCACTGCAATCGAGAAAACTTACGCCATATATTCGCTCAATTCCAATAGAAAGAGTTTAGTCCTCCCCCCTATCCCACCCAAAAGTTGGTTCGATAAAAGGTGCCACGGGTCAGTACTTCTGTACAGAAGTTTCATGTCACCAACACGTTTATTTTACAAAAAACAAAACAATACCTTGTTTACCATCTAAAGTGGGCCTGAAAGCAATTAGAAGATTTTCTCACCTTGAACCTGGACGCGAGTCTTGCAGCAGCGCGTGAAGTCGGCGATCCAACGGAATTTTCAGATGAGCTAGAGAATCGAAGAGAATGAACCTCAGTGCTCTATCGTTATACCACATCTTATAACACATCATCGCAACTCGAAGGCTCACCCATCTCTATTTGTTTTCACGTACCTTACGTTCTTTTGGGAATCCACTTTTAGCTCCTTGCTCCTTTCTCTTTTTAACACAATAACTTGACAGATAGCGATGTATAATTATTCACTTTGAAAAACATGAGAGACTCACTCAATAAAGGGTGAAGGCACCTTGTGTGACAGTTGCCGCTGCCCACAAAAATTTCTTATGCTGGAAAACAAATCGCTGGGGTGCGTGATTTTTTCTGCCTCCGTTTTCATTCCCACCCCGAAAGCTTCCTTCTCTCGCGAAAAAAAAAATTGAATCTGTCAAGGCGATATGAACTGCCATACTACGTGCTCCCCCCTATTGATTGAGACCCAAAAAAGAGGTGCTCGATCATCCGTCAGATAGATGAGCCTGAGAGATTTTATAAAGTTAATGCAATCCCGGCTTCAAGATGGTCATTGCTCACCATTAACCTTCTTGAGCTTAAGCTAGCGATGGCAGCGAATCCGGCCATCCAGCAAGCGGACGTGAATCGCTCGGAGGAAGCGGGTCATGCGATATAATCGGAGCCATGAAAGTTTTGCATTTTTCCTTATAAACCCTACCCTATGGATACGCGCAGCCTATTTCACCCAACAGGGCAGGACCTCACCCTTGCGTTCTGGTCTTACTGTGGTGGTCGCAACTTATGCTTACTTTTCGAGGTGGTCTGAGGAATAATCACTGAAATGGCGCCCATGGCTGTCCAGAGTCCAATTTTCGCCCTGGTAACGAGATCTTCGAAGAACTTTTCCTTTTGTGAGCGCAGAGGCAAAGATGTGCCTAAACAGATCCCTGACTCAAAGACGGAATTGTGTATGCCGTTGATGTCTCTTTCAAGAATACCGCAATGTAGCCCAGATTGCTGGTGGGCGACTGTTTTCTGGCTGACACTTGATGTCATCGACGATTCGCGAGTACTGGCATTGGATTTTTCTCCGTGGGCACTGCGTAGAGACTCCTTGTCCATGGCAGTCCTACATCTAGAGTGGTTTGAAGCCATCACCCTGGGCAAAGATGTTACGATTCAACGCCCAGTCTTAGTTTCTAGAATACAGTAAAGATGGTGACATTTCCTTGCACGGACGCCCGACAAAGAACGCTAGAGTTTGCAATTTGACTGCAAGCTGGGCATTTTTTTATCAGGCTGCTGTCTGACCCCTACCATTTGTTGCGCTATCTCGTTCAGGCTCTCCTACCCGCGCTTAGTCACTCCATGCCTTAGCGCAGTCTATTGCGAAGATGGGTAAGCTCCTAATTTGAGGGTTCTCGAAGGACTTTGTTTCTCTTTACTTTGTTGCCGGTCCGCCTCGCACCGTAATAGAGTCGATTTGTAGCAAGAAACCATACCTTTAAAGGAGGATTGCACGGAAAGAACGAAGGTCGAAGAAGGGAGAAATCGCCTAGTGGGGAGAGCGGTGAATCTCTTGAGGGTGCGGACAGACACGCAATCGGCATCGAAAGATTTGACCTCTGAGATCTAGCATGGCTCAAAGTTGGCGAGTTCGGCGATCTCCGCCCACCGATCGTCTGATCACTCGCCGTAGTACAATAGGTGGCGAGTGATTAGATAGCTGAGAGAGCGTAGGGTTGAAGAGGGCAAAGCGATGAGAGTCGCATCAATGCTCAAATCAACGGGCAAGGAAGGGGTCCCATTTCTCGGGTTCTGGGCCGTTTCTCATGGTTCTTCCTTCTTTCGTGTACCACTCACCATCCCTAGGTTAATTTGAAATGGGTTGCTTTTTCATCGTAAATCCTTTTAACACCTTGACGACAGCGCGGCAACTAGGTTTGCCGCGTTTTGCACGCCGCAATGGACATTGTGGCAACTATAGTTGCCACACCCTTTACATTCAGTTTTTTCTTGAACGCGCCATTCTTCCCAGGTTTTTTGTGTTCATTTTTTAGGCCATACCACAACATAACCAAGAACCACGCGGCTTATAGAATGACCAAATATTCTTTAGTTTGGCAGAGGTTTTTCGGACCGGACGAAAATATCCGTTCAGTTCATTCCTCATTTTCTCTTCATTAACACGAACATGTAGATAAAAAAGAATATTAGAAGTGAGTACAAAGCTACTCGTGTGGCAAGATATGTGTTTTTACCGAAACAACCACGTCCAAAATAATTTTGAAATCACTAAAGCAAAAGTAAGTGAAACTTGCCTTTTCAATGCTGTAACACATCATTCGACCGCACTTTCACATGTGTACCTTCCAATAAGTTTGACACATAACTCATTGTTTCGGTTATTACGAATCTGATAAGTTTGACACACCGAATATCAGTGAAAACATTTTGTCGCATCGAAGTATTGCGTATTTAAAGCTCAAAATCCACAGATTTGTTGTGAGGCGGCGGCGCTCGCAGAACCGCTCTGGTCCCACGCGGCCAAAAATGCCAAAACGCGCGATGTCGTCAACGTGTTAATACAGGGTATTGCTGTTAAATGGAAATTCGTCATAGATGGAGGTGTCGAAGAAGGGGAATGACTAGACGAAAAGCAAGCGGGCCTTCCAAAGGGTGCGGGATGATAAGCGTTACACGGGGAGGTGGCCTAGCAGGGCTATACCGCACCTCTGTCTGCCCCCTCTCGCCGTCCTACTCGGACCTTTAGGAGAGAGAGTGCTTAAAGAGGGATGAGGGTCGCATCAATGCAAAAATGCAAAAGTCGACGGGCAGACGGGGTCCCATTATGGGCCATTTACACGGATTTTTGCGCAACATTGCATTACTGTCAGACTCGATTCGTTACTAATGGCCTTCCTTTTTAGGGAAAGCTCGCTTTTATCTTTGAGTACGGGTCATTAGGGAGCGTTAGTGATTGTTTCTTGAGCCTTCTAATTTGGTTTGACTGAAACTGACACATTTGTTTGACATTGATTACGCTGCTTCATCGATCTGTCATGGATCAGGTTTTGCGACACTTAACGTTTCCTAGGTGAATTGTTCCAAATTTCAGGAGCCAAACTCAATCCACGGTGGCTGTGTCGTTTGGGAAGGTGAAAAATTAGCAACAGTATTGTGGATTCGGGCGAACCATCAGGAACTACTCCGATCGCCCCGTCGAGACGGCAGAATCGACATTGACAAATTAATTCGTCCCCGTTAGGAGACTCTTGGGCGCCAGTCAACTGAGAGAAGTTCACGAGTCTACGAATTAGCTTGTTTATATAAACGCATTAATTCTTCAATAAAGTGTCCTAAAAGAGTTCTGTTAAAGGCACAACCCAGGCAGAGGTCGTGTGAACTCTTCTCTTCTTCGGTCAGAAGTATAGAACCCTAGGGGACAATCACAAATGTGGCGTTCACGTGCACGGAATTCGACCGACAAGAACGCTTTGGGCTTGCAAAGTAAGCTGCTCGAGCTGCAGCGAACGAGCTCTCTTATCAGGCCGTTGTCTGGTGCTCTCTCATCTGATGCGCTCTCTCGCCCCATACTCTCCTCTTCGCGCTTAGTCTCTCGTTCCTTTAGCACAGCCAATTAGGAAGGTGAGTGAGCCCTCAACCTGAGCGTTTTCGACGGATTCTTTTCCTTTTTTCTTCACTGCCGGCCCACTTGGCACCGATACATTCACATTCGTGTGCAAGAGCCACACCAGTGCGATCCTGGGGCATGCCTTTAAGTGGGTTAAGCAATCCATACACTACCGCAGCAGTTGCTATGCGTAGTTCCTCCTACATTTTACGTCTTACTCACTATTGAATACTTGGAACTAACACAATTGAGAAGTTGCTTCATCCCCGGTTGGAGTATTTGGGAATGACACCAGCTTACTGAGAAAAATTTACAAAATGAGATTGCAATAGGTTGTTTTTCAATATAAATTCTCTAATAAAGTGTTCTAAAGGAGTTTTCTGTAGATGTTGTGCTGGAAACGCAACAGCACCTGTAGCGGGTAATTCCTCCTCACTTTACGTCTTACGCATTACCGAACACGGTGGAACAATTGCAATGAACTGAAAAAATGAAGTCGTACTTCCTTGGGATAGAGATGAGTGATCGCAGTAGGAAAGAGGCTCCGGAAACAAGAGATATTCTTAACCTTACCTTGATCCTGATCGTCAGAGTCGTAGAGCAGGACTGGAGTAAAAACCCATAAGTCTAATGTGAAATCAAGAGTCTTCGCGCCATTCCGTTAGCAAACCCTACAATTGCTTAAAGTTTACCGTTTACAGAGTTCAGGGTTTTGCTGCATGTATAACTATCCTCTACTTACTATAAAGCGCTTCGTCTGTCGTGTGTGTGTGTCGTGTGTCGTGTGTCGTGTGTCGTGTGTCGTTCTGTATGTCTGTCACGAAATTCCCTAGCTCCTCGGGATCCGCCTGGAGGGACCGGGTCAAGTGTGGGATGGGTGGGCAGGGTCTCACGTAATACAAAACACACATCAGCTAAGCGGAGCCCCGCCCACAGAGGGCGTGGCGTGCGTCGAAATGAATTGTACCGAAGACCAAGATTTCGATTTCAGTGACAAAACGACCTCGAAACTGGGCCAAAAAGTGGGTAAAGGTGTGCATTGGTAAGTCACATCGAATTAGGGAGACCCACCCCCGGTGGGCGGGGCGTTCTCCAAAAAAGCAGTGCTTTATGAAAAATTTCATAACTCGGCTTGGGAGAAAGCCTACAGCGCAGAAACCAAATTGGTGTAGGGGAGCAATGTCTAAGGTGTTCCCAGCATACATGACGTGGGCGAAGGTCCGCCCACAATGGGCGGAGCGCGCTCTGAAGTGTACAGCGTTTTCTACAAGTCCTCATAATTCGGGTCGGAGAAGTCCTAGCGAGCTGGAAAATGGTGGATGGAGGTGGGTGGGGTAGTGGAGGCCAGCTGTCATCGGTGGGCGGGGCTTGACCAAAGTGGGCGGAGTTTGCGAAGAAAATTCATAACTCGGCTCTAAGAAGGCCGAGGCCGGAAAAGGTGGATGACGGTGGTGGTAGTGGAGACCCAGCTGCCTCGTGGCGTGGCTCGACAAGTGGGCAGAGTTTGCGACGAAAATATTATAACTCGGCTCCAAGAAGTCCCGGAGGCCCGGGAAAAGGTGGATGGAGGTGGGTGGAGGAGTGGAGGCCAGCTGTCATCGGTGGGCGGGGCTTGACCAAAGTGGGCGGAGTTTGCGACGAAAATTCATAACTCGGCTCCAAGAAGTCCCGGAGGCCGGGAAAAGGTGGATGGAGGTGGGTGGAGGAGTGGAGGCCAGCTGTCATCGGTGGGCGGGGCTTGACCAAAGTGGGCGGAGTTTGCGACGAAAATTCATAACTCGGCTCCAAGAAGTCCCGGAGGCCGGGAAAAAGGTGGATGGAGGTGGGTGAGTAGGAGAGGTCAGCTGCACCGTGAGGCGGGGCTCGACCGAAGTGGGCGGAGTTTGCGACGAAAATTCATAACTCGGCTCCAAGAGGTCCCGGAAGCTGGGATAAAGGGGGTAGCGGTCTGCAAAAGGAAGGGGCCAAATGCTACCGGTGGGCGGGGCACGCACCGAAGTAGGCGGAGTTTGCCACGACATTTATTGTCCAGAAGCAGTCCG